CACCGCCACCCCTCGTGCAACACTCGAGAAACTGAGCAACTGTACGGAAGTGACACGCCTCGACCACTCGACTCTTCCCCTCCGCCTCTTCTTGATACCCTCCGATGCAAGTGCACGCCTCCAATCTCTCCTTTCGGGTACGGAAACGCGGACGAGCGCCCGTAAACTGTGTACACGTACACTCGCACACCACACACACACACACATACACACGTGCGCGCGCGCGCGCACACGCACACGAGGGGGACGGCTGGAACAGGGTCGGTTTCGTGAATGGAAGTGGCGCGGACAAACGGCGGATAAACACTCGCACTCGGCAAAAGCCACTCGACTGCGACGAGCCTACGACGTTCCCTCGGGCCAGGCCAACCCTTTATTGCGCACTCGCGCAACCCTCGCCACCCCGATGGAGGGATGGAGGAGCAACTGGGACGTTGCTGCGCCTGTGCGACCCGTCCATGTCCTCCGAAGGACCTCTCCCTTTTCTTCCTTCTTTTTTTTTTTTCTCTTCCTCTTTAAATATATATTTTCTTTTTTTCTCCCTCCCCTCGAAATTTTTCAAACGTTTTTTTTCACAAACGAAGATTATCGAGATCGCGCCATCGATCTGATTAAGGTGGTTAATTTACAGTATCCATAAACGGGATATGAAGACATCGAAGGCTCCTTATGGATTCTCTTCCTCGTTCGAGGAAAGGAAATTGTTTTCTTCTAGGCATTCAGAGAGATTTTCGATCTGTGTTTCTAGTTTTTAGGGATAGTTTTTTTAAGTTTTTGAGAAAGGAAGATCGTTTGAGAGGTGGGAAATTATTTTTAGAATTTCGTAATTTTGTATATTTTTGATTTTGTTGTTGAGTGGCTATCTTCGTTTGGAATTTGAACTCGGTTGGGTTTGTGTTAAGTTAAAGTTTGGTGTGGGTTTAGCGACAATGGAGCCGATTTCGGCCACTGTTCACTCTCAATTTTTCACGCCAGTTTACAACGCGAGCAACGAAAGTGAAGGTAACGTGAACTCCAGCGTGACGAATCCGGGTCAAGCTCAAAATCTGGCTCTGTGGACCGCAACCATTCATGTCTGTGGAGGAGAGCGTTCGTCTCCCTCTGATCTCCCTCCTTTCCTTCTCCACTAATCAATACCAGCCTGACCCCGCAACAAGTAGATATCCCGGCGGAAAGATGGAGAAAAAAACACTAGAGTTTTCCAGCTTTTTTACAAAAAGAGCTTCTATTTGAAAGCTTCTCCAACGTTGTTATCGATACTGTAAACAATTCAATTACTGTTCTGTCCATCAAGAGCAACCTTTATAAGAAAATTTACCCAAATAATTATTAAACGAAGAACGTCTAAAGTGAAACTTCTTTGGAAGATTTCATGCTTCCAAAGAAATTGTTTCTGATAAAAACCGTTTCTTTGATAAAAACGAATTTTTATTTTATATATATATATTTTTTTTTTATATTAAAAGTAAGGGATGATTTAAAAATTAATTAAGTAAATGTTTCTTGTCAAAGAGTTTAAGATATAATTGAACGTTACGAATATAAATAATTTGTCGAAAAAATTCTTGATCAAATTTTTGAAAAATTTCAGAACAAATGAACAACCCTTGTCGTCACTATCCTCCCGAGAAGAGTCGTCGAGGACGCCTGCGCGAAAATAACGAACGATTTCGTTTTGGTTTCCGTGGCAGCCCTCGATAATTGGTGAATGGCTCGATAGACATACGCAATCCTTCGTAATCGTAAAACTGACTAGGAAAAAAAAAAAAAAAAAAAAAAAAAATAAGAGAAATTCCAAATATTTTCACTTCTTTTCTCATCGTCCACGCTTATTTATTAAATTCTGATCGTTGATCTTCAACATACACATGCGTTTTTTATATTGGGATAATATATATTTGCATAGAGGTTTGGTCGTGATTGATTATGTATTAATACGAAATGTTTAGCGATTTGTTAATAATTAATAGACAGGCCAAGTGGAAACGGAAATTTACGGTCGGACTAAAATAGTTCAAGGTTAATTCGGAACTATGTCATGACCGAGTTTCATCGTGAACTCCCGATTCAATATCGTGTGCAATTACGCGGCTGGATCCGCGTCAAAGGAATTCATAGAGCCATAACAATGAATTGAATTGGGAACAGAAAGGAAAACAGAGGTTTCAGACATTTGAAGACAAAGAGAAGTTGAAGCGCGGAAATGAAAGAAGAATTTTCATTTCGAGTAAAATGAAAATGATCTAATACGCTATCTTGTGTATACGTATATACGAGATCATAAGAATGAAGAGAATTTTTGTGAAATAATATATATATATATATTTTGAGTATTTAATTTATTGCATCTTTAAACTAAAAAAATATCAACGCAATGGAAATTTTTTTTAATGAAAATATATAATTTCGTTTTCGTTATATATTTTTTGCTCTTATCTAAGTAAGATCGATTAAAAATTTTTCTTTCTTCGTGTCTTAATTTCTATGGAACGAATGAAGATAAAGTGAAAAATCTTTCGTTATTTTCAATCGATAAATTCCGTCTCGGAATATTTTTGGTCAGAAGAAGACAGATAATAAACACATAGCTTATTAATTTTTCATTCACGTTAATTTTTATTTTCAAACAATTATTATTGATTTTTTCTTTTCCTCTCAATAAATCAAAATATTCTCGTGTCCCACCATTTTTTCTATTAAACAGGAGAAAATACGGATGAACAGTCGAAAATAATGATCGATCCCCACGATAGTAACGTAAAACAACATCGATTTATTCAACACAAATACGTTACGATAGAGGTTCGGTAATAATGATAATAATAATAATAATGATAATAATATTCATATATGTATATATACAGGAAATAAGGCACGTTCGATATTACATTAATTAACGTGCGACCCATAACGTCGCTCGGCTGTCCAATATTACATCTTTTTTATATTATTTTTCTTCTTTTTTATCGTCATTGCGTCTTCTCGTTCGTACGATATGCAACATCCTTACCAAATGTAGAAAATGTCATATATATAATATATTTATAATATATATATATGTATATCTATATCTGTATAAACGTTCTCGTTGAATTTCCATTCGTCCTTTCATCGGCATTGTTCAAGATAAACTTTTACACCATCTTAAATCTATATTTATAATCATATTTATATATATTTATACGTATTCCCTTCTTTCTTAATTATTTCACGACGAAGTAACGACATTATTTATCGTCGCTTAACGGCTTTCCCATATATATACCTCTCTCTTTTTATCTCCATTTGCAGGAAATATTTCAACGGGTGTCGTCTTACAGCCGATCTTCCTAACCCGTAATAAAAGGCGCGAAATTTAAAATGTTCGGAAATCGCTATCTTCAATCGCGTTCGATTAAACGCTCGTTGTTGAAATTTCTCTGATCAAATTTTTTCATACGATTCACAACATTCACGTCATTAAATGCACACTCTGGTTTTACGATCTTAATTATAATAGTTAATCATTTGTGAATATGATCTGAGTATGGAATCGAATCCCATGATTGTTTTCTCTACCTTGTCTGGATGAATTTTTGAAGAAAATATGAAACTTTTTTTTTTTCGACAATTTGAGAATATGTTGGAATGACGTGAAGGTCAGTACGAATGACTTGTAAAGGAATTGGTGACGATCGAAATAAATTGGAATATTGTACAATATTTCTCGCGATATTCACGATTTCGTTGGCACGCACAGACACCTGCAGATTGCGTTTTTTTTTTTTTTTTAAATAGAGTCTTGATTTTTAACCCTTTGATGTCTTTTACTTAAAAGCTATTTTTACAACATTATTAATATTTCGTTAGAATTGATTAGAATGAATTGTTTATGTCCATTATGTTTTATAAAAAACGATATATTAATTTATGTTTTTAATATTTTTGATAAATTTTTTTTCTTAATAAATCGATTTAATTAATTTTCTCGGTTTTTTGATCAAATTCTCTTCTCGAAATATCTCAATCTGAAAATCCCCGGACAGCAAAGGGTTATAAAAATTCTTTTACTCGTGATTCAAGAGGATTCTCACATTCTGCAACTGATTTACTCTCGCACATGCACTCGGCAAACTTACTTTAGGCGGTCTAAACTGGCATCAAGATACTTTACACGAATGTACAAAAATCTTCCTACACCGTAATCGGAATGTGTATCATTATTCGTTCGTTTTCTTTTCTTTTTTTTTTTTTATTCTCTTCCTATGCATTACCTACTATGCTAAATTATTTAGAAAAAATGGTTTCGCCAGAATTTGGAATCGTTAGCGAACAATTTTTTTTTTTTTTTGCGCCCATACTGGAATGTAAGCTATCGTAATCGTTGATACGATAAAAAAACGAAGATATGTCGACGAATCGTTGATCGATGAGTTTTATTTATTCAATAAATCAAATCTATTATTGTTTTTATTTATATATAACAGAATATAGTTTTTTTTTCTTTTATAGGAACTAGTTAAGAAAATATGGTGAGTAAAATCTTTAGATTTATTTTTATTTTTTTTTTTAAAGAATTTTTATGTGTATATTTGTTTTAGATAAATAAATATTGATATATTTCAATAAATCAAATAATAAGCTTGATGTGCATTCCAAATCTAATAGATTGTTCGTTATTTCTTACTATAATATTTCAAATTCATCTTTATATAATGGAATCAATTTATAATAATTTTGAATCATAGAAGATTCATATTTCAATAAATAATAATAAAGTTTTAAAAATAATTTTGCAAATAATATAAATTACAATTTCAATGATTTTAAATTATCAAAGTGAAACGATTATTTTTATTCCATCATTTATAAAGTAAACATACTAAAAGAAAAAACTGAATGAAGATACAAAAAAAACAAACAAAGTATTCAAAAGCATAAAACTTGATTTTAAAATAATTTTGAATTAAAAAAATACAAGAAAAATTTACATGATTTAGTACAGATAGATTTTACACAAATATAACTATTTCCTTTCGATATAAAAAATATTCAAGCAAAGGATCAATGTCTTATTAAAATAAATAATTCTGTTCACACTACCAGTTTATCATTCAATTTATAAGAACGATAAACTCTCGTTTCGTTATTCGCAATCAACGATTCGTCATTTTCCATTGAAACTGAAATACCATGTCGTTTCTGAGATGGCACACGCCCTAAGCAGCTTATAGAAATCGTTCGATCCACCTTAAAACAACGGATTTACGGATGAAAGCGACGATCGAGGCTCTCGTGGAGATCGATTCGGCCGCGTTCGTCCGTTTATATAACGCGCTTTTCGCTGTCATTGACGCATTGATGTTGCCACTTAATAGTTACACTTAAAATTACAACTATATCGAACATTTGTTTCGATTCGTAAGTACTTGCGCGATTATCGTATACGTAATCATTACACTTAATTAATCCAATTATTTAACGATTCTATCATCTATTATTAGAAGAATAATCGCTTGTAATTATTTTAATAGTTTAATCATATTTATAGTAATCTTAGTTTTGGAATGTTGATGAGTCTTTTAGTATTTACATATTATAAAATATTTGTCAGAAAATTAATCTTTCTAATCTTGAAAATTATTTGTTTAATATATAAATTTACTTATCTTATGATTATTCTGTAATCTACGATTAATCTGTTAGGTACAGAATATTCAAATATGTTTAAGAAATATTATTAATAAAATTATTAAAGAAAATTAATTTCTTAAAATTATTTTTTGATTTTTTCTAATCATAAAGTCAGATTCTAAAACAATCTATTTACTTCTTCTTAAATATAAAAATATTTCTATCATTTTTTTTTAAAGTTAAATGCTAATTTTTATTTTCCTTGCATAACTCTCTTCCTAGCATTCAACTATTCTTTAGATTTTCAATTCAAATTAAAAATCCTCAACATTATATCCGTTATTAACTATCTCACATTTAAACCACAATTTCCACATTAAATCACTCATATATAAATAACCAAGAAAATTGAGACCATTTAAATAATTACAAGCGACACCTCAGAACAGCAATCATCAACATGTATCCCAACCGAAATTGAGAAAAAGGAGAAAGGAAAAAGATACGAGTCCCATTGAAACACTACCCAAAAGCAGAAATAAAGATTAAAAAGTCTAAACAAGTCCTTTGCTTCTCGTAAAACCCTCAATTCTTCAATGCCAGCGAAAGCGTCTTCCTCGATCACTCTTCAAGTGTCATTGTACACTGGTCACAGCTTATCCAAGGGTATCATATCCCTCCTCGATCACCTTTGAAACGACGTTTCTATTGCACTACGTCCATCCAACAGTTCGAGATTACAGCCAAATATAGGCCATTCGAACGTCTCTCTTCCTCTTCTCTCTCGAAACTTTCCTCGACCAGCTCTCTCTCTCTCTCGTCTTCCAGTCGATCTCGAGCGTCCGACAGATGGCGTTTCGAGGCTTCCATGCCTCGATACCACGCCATCTATCTACCGAAACGCGTCTTGGCGATGGAGTAACGTTGAACAGATACCCAAGAGCCGGTGCGATCGTATCTTCGTGCGATGTTTTTCGACTGGTGACGCGAAAAAGCGCGATATCACAGCTTCGATGGATCGTAGTTCTCGAACGACCACCTTTGCCTCGCTGCCGAGGATGAACACTCCTCCATGATCAACCGTTGCTTGCTCTCCGTTATTGCCAGACACTTGTCGCTACTTCCGTGTCTGATCTGCTTCGTCTAAAAGAGAAATCAATGGTTGGTTAATATTTGTAAGAAAAAAAGAAAGATATTGAAATATTCAAAAATTTGTTAGAAGTGGATGAGAAATAGAAATAAATCTTGCTTTTCGGATTACATGAATATTATAACCATTTTCAAGGAGAAAATAGAAATTGAAAGAATAAGTACAGTCATTTATAAAAGTGATTCACATATTCGATAAAGTGTTACTTTTTTATGAAAATAAAAATTTACAGAAGATTTCATTGCAAAATTATCCTTAAAAAAGATAAAAGATTTCATAACAATTTTATATGATAAAAAAGAAAATAAATATATTATTGCATATTCTATACATTGTATAGACACTTTTCATGGATGCAAATGAAATGGAAAATTTGATATTAAAAATTTCCTTATATTTTTTAAATAATCTCATTTTTTTCAATAATTTCAAATCAATAAACAAGAAAATCCAATAATTTAATGTAAATAAATCCAGAATTGAAATAAAAAAAAAAAAGATAATTTCGAAGCAAGGAAATTCGTAATAGGATTTGATATTAATTAATCCCGTACTTGTTACAAACGCAAGGATAACGTACCTGAGGATTATAAATCCATTGTTGATTCCCCTTGCTACCGTGACAAGGATAGAGGATGACATCGGTGCCGCTGTAATCCAAGCACGACTCGTCTCGACGGATCTCACCGGTCTTGCTCAACATCCAGTACTGTGACAAACGATCAAGATTAATGCCCGTGGATTTTGACCTCTAACGTTTGCCTATGACCGATGGTTCTGACAGACAGTGTACGCGAATATGGATGCATCCGTTTGTCGAAAGAACACCGGAAGCGTAAACGTTCGAGCGACAAACAGAATGAGATAAACTTCTTTGTTATTTGTTGGAAGAACAGATTTTCTTATGCAATTTAAGAATTTAAGAATTTATCAAAAATTAACAATGGGGTATAAGAATTATTAATTCCATACTTTTAAATATTTAGACGTAATGAACTGTTTTTAACTACTCTGTTGTCTTTAATTGTAGAAATTTATTTCGTGTTAAGATGAAATCGATTATTTTCAAATAATTTTTTATTCGAGTTTATTGATTCAAGTAAAATATGAAATCTTTATCCAAATGCTCCGTACAAAAGAAGAAAGAAAAATTATTAAAATTAAATTTGTTTAAAATTAAATGGTATTTGATATCTTGTCCGACATATAATTGACCATAATCACTTACCAATTCTTCAAAATTTTATCTATTTTGCGATATGTAAAATTAATACGAGAAAAGTTTATAATTAGTACAGGCCAATTTTCATAATTGAAAAAGAAATTTGTTTGTTGAAACGATCAAAATTTTTTTTTTTCACAGTCTCTCAACTTTCTCGCAACGTGCATGGAAATCCCTTAAACTCTTTAATGCAAATGAAGAAGATTGAAGATTTCATCTTTTTTAATTACCCTAACAATGTGACAGGCTCAAATTTGCACATGTAATAGCTTAGTTAATACTTTCAACCTTTAAGAGTCTTTGTTTTATGGTAGCTAAGACTCTAAGAAAATTAAAGATTCATCGTTTAAGCGAATCTTCTAATAGTTATAGATTACATCAATTTTTCTTTCTAAATAAAATTTTCCTTACAAAAATAAAAATAAAAACTTGAGAAGCGAACAATCAAAAGATGGAAGAAATTTATCACATTATTTAATAAATTATCGAAACCAAAGACAATTCTTACGTACGAAAATCACGGTTGATTATCTCGAACGTAGTAGAAAATTTCAATTTGTACAGGCATGAGAAGCATATGTAGCTAAAGGCTCATTAAATTCCAGGAGTGGCCAGGAGCGAACAGTGGCTTCTACTTATTCAAATCGTTACACGGTTGTAACCACGCTGTCAGAACCATCTGCGTTGAAAATTCAAAGGTTTTCAGCCCCTGTCGTGCAACGATAGACTCGAAAGCGGTAGGTTTTCGGGATAATGAAAAGCGAGGATTAACGCCATGCACCAGTTACCGCACGTTAACAACCAAGCATTACTATCTATATCCGCGCCATCGATATAATACTGAAATGCGACCAGACCATTAAAAAAACCAAGATTAAGGATGAAAACGACTTTAATTCAACTCACACCAACGATTTCAAAAAAAAAAAAATACTTTCGTATTTTTCTCTTTGTAAAATTTTAGGATATCGTGATTGAATATTAGAAATTGAAAGTTGAAAATCTAAGAATTTTTTAATAAATTTAATTAACGCTCGAACATTTGTATTAATACATATTCATATTATCAATTGCGTTTCTGTTGTTTACTATATATTTTTAGAATTCAAAAATCCGACAAAAGAAAGTTTCAGAACTACATCATCGAAATATCCACTCGATACTTCGAACCGTCATTCATTCAAAATCATCGATATGGCTATACCAAGTGAAAAGGTATACTGATCCATAACTGTATCAGAGGAGAGTCGGTCGAGCGGCTTAATTGCCGTGAAACCACGGCTTAATTGCTAGGGCAAATAGGTAAATTAAAGCGACGCTTTACAGGGGCCAAGCGAGCGAGTGGCGACTGATTGTGTTTTTGGTTGTAAGCGGTCGTCACGGTTGTTAAACCGTTCTAGAACCGGCGGAAAACATCAAGCGAAACGACATCCGGTATTCACGAGTTGAACCTGGATACCCTTCTTCTCACAATTAATCGCCATTTGCGTGACTCTTAACGACGAGAGATTTTAGGAAATCATCTTTCTATATCCGTTTCTGCGCCTGATAACGAGTTCTGCACTCTTTCTCTCCCTTATCTCCACGGTTGCTTGCTTCTTCCGGTCTAGATGCAAATTTTCTTAGTCTCTTTTCAATGGTTTTTTCAATATCGTGTAAAACAAGAAGTGGAGTGAAGAAATTGAGAAATGGATTTTATGATTACTGATAATTGACAGATAATTGTGAAATATATATTGGATTTTAATAATCAATTTGAGGTTATGTTTGAGGTTATGTTCGTAGTTAATCGATTCAATCGATTCAGTCGAATTGATAATCTGATTATTCCTAACCTAAAACTTATATATATATATATATATATATATACAAAATATACAGTAATTTCAACGAAAATTCATCGAAAAAGAAAAATCACTAAATAAATCGTATCACAACTTTCATATAACCTATTCCTCCTATTTCTTACTTCAATAAATGACACTTTCCTTTCCTTCCCATTCTTTCCTTCCGTCTAAAATAAAAAAAAAAAAAATAACTATATCCTTCCCTTTCATAGACACGTATCCATTACACCTAGACGAACACGAAACACTGTCAAGACGCAAGGACGAACAAAACAAGGAATCGATTCATCATCGACTTCCAAGACTTTCTTATCAATGGCCGTTGAAAGGCACATCATAACCAGGCGTACGTGCATTATTTCCAAGCGGGTCACACCCACGGCGATAATTTCCAGCACGCGTGCCGGTTCCCACAACGGGGCGAGAAGATTAATTCGACACGATGGCACGTGAAGGTAAAAATGACAAGCCGGCGGATAGCCGTGGCAGGGTAGCTGGAAAAGCTAGAAGGCTTGGCCTCGGTTCGCGTGTGTGAGCGGAAGGAGGATAAAGGGAAGAGAGGCGGATAAAGAAAGAGAGAGAGAGAGAGAGAGAGAGGAAGGTGGACGATTGATGAGCACCTGCACCAGATTAGCGGGGTTACTAATTGCACCGAAATGGGTCGAGCTTAGCGTGCGAGTTAAATGGTAAACGCGTCGTCGGTTTAACGGTCCCTTTTTCTTTTACCTCGTCCCTGGCGAACACTCCGTTCCTGGCAGGACGATTATCGTAAACGATCGCCCGTTTCAACCCGATCCCAAGCCAAGAAAATTCGTAAATAGCCGGGACCGGTTTAACGAGCGAGTTTCGCCATTTGAGCGGACATTTGCGTGGAATACATTAGAGATGTGATTTAGAATCGTACTATTCCATTCATCGTTTGATCAATTTTCGTGAACAACAAGGAGAACGGAAATATTTCGCAGCAGAAATATTTCACTTTAAAAAAAAAAAAAAAAGTACAGAGGTTCGTAATTTTCGTAATGTTCGTAAATTTTATCTCGTTCCTTTCAAATTTTCGTCTCTTCGACGTTGTATGATATTTTCGAGATTAACGCGAAATTTAAAAAAAAATGTAACTTTCGTTTCTCGAATGTATTCCTCATAGAAATTGGGACACGAAATTTTGACGCAGCATGACACGATGTATAAATTTTTTTCGTTCTGCTAGAGCAAGTGGATATCCCATCACCATCAAGGATCGAAAGAACGTTAAAATTCGCATCATATCAACGAAATTGCAATTGCATTAACGTTACAACGTTAGAGGAAAAGAAAAAAAAATATATATATATATTTATATATACCAGGCATATACCACCGCATGCCCCGTGATTATTGACATATCACGTTCGAAATTCTTATTCTCATTGAGTATCTGAACTCTGAATTCGTGTACCTGATTGCCTCCCTGGCGGTGACAGGGATATAAACCCACTGGCTGGTGCAGATCTTCAGGTTTCCCTGGCGAGTCTATACACATGCTGCTAACCAAATGTCTGATCTGCAGCGAATCAACAAATTTTTCAAACGATTACTACCGATTTCTCGCCCACGAGAATATCATTGAAGAGAAATTTCATTCTTTTCTTTCGTTTTTTTTATTGTTAAGATCGATCTTACGCAAAGAGGTTACGTGCGACACCTTTATTTTTTATCTCGTGATCCTTTCTCTCTCTCTCTCTCTCTCTCTCTGTCTCTCTCTATCTGAAAAGGTGAATAAATACGAAGCCAAACAGATAAACATGCGTGCAAACCTAAAATATGTGTAAACGAGTGAGAATACGAGTTAAATGTTAAAAATGTTTCCTTCGAAGAAACGAAAAGTCGACTTTTGAAGAGGAAAGAATTCGAAAATATCGTTTAATATTTGAATTTTCTTTCGTTGAATTCTTTTGTTTATGTATTTAAATTTTTCACAAATTTTTACTCTATTTTTAAAATAAATCTCGATTATAGATCGATTAATCTTGCAAACGAATTGATCAAATTTGGAATAACATGGAAAATCGAACACCAATGTATCGAGGCGAGAGAAATTGCGAGATACAAACGTAATACGAGTGCAAAAATAAAAAAGAAGGAAGGGAGGGAGGGGGCGAAAGTCGAGTTTTCGCTTCAAATCGTGAAATCGAGGCGCGAAAACAAGCTGACAGTGAAACGAGTGATCGACGGGGCTTAAAAAACACATATCTGGTATGGGATTCGGCATCCACGGCTCTATTTGTACCTGATTTCCACCCTGTCGATGGCAGGGGTAGAGGCCGGCAGGCTTGTGCAAGTCTGCCTTGCGTGCCGGTGAATCCAGACAGGTGTTACCTCCTTCTCCAAGATTACGAACCTGTTCGTTAGTTAGTACGTGGATCATTTCGTGGATTAATATCGGTTAGCACGTTTAATAAATAATAAATTTCTTTTACAATTCGGGCGAACACCGAGAGAAATTATACTGTATCGAAATGTTTTAATCTATTCCGTTTTAAAAATTTATTTTTAAAAATACATTGCAATACTAATAATTCTTTATTAAGTTCGATAATCGATGAGATATTTGTGTCAAAAGAAAAGAAAATATTTATGTAATAAAATTCTGATTAATTAAACTTTATTATTTAAAAAATAAAGTATGAGCTATCGATTGATTCATATATATATAATTGCCATAAAATATAGAAGATTCAGTTTATAAAAAAGATGATATTTACGAAATTTTGAGGTAAAGGAAATAAATTAAAAAAGATATGAATCGAACGACCAAAAAAAAAAAAAAAAATGTGCTCGTTAAAGGGACGTAACTGCGAGACATCAATCCTCGATATCTGCACGTCGTAAAAAACAATAAGAATAACATGTACTAGGTGAAAATATTTTTCGCATAGCGGACGATTTCCTATCGGAAAATATTTTTCCTCCAATAGGGGAGTGGGCGTTATTTTTCTCTCGATGTTCGCGCGTTTCCAGGGATATTTACAGCGGTCAAGTTTTTCACGGAAAGCCGCGCCTGTGAAAATGAAAAAACGCATAAATCAAGGGGAGAAGGAAGACGCAATAATTGAATGAACCCGCTCTCGAAATCTTTCTGTGATGGCTCTCGAAAAAATTCTCCTCTTTCGATACATTTCGATTTTCTTATTCTTATTAATATCTTCGCGTGCTAAACTTTTTTCTCTTCTGTCACGGATTACACGGATTGAATCTCGATTGTTAACGGTTCTCGTACGTCACGTGTATAAATGGACTAAATATTGTTCATTCGACCTAACCTAACTTTGCAAAATATACGTATTCACTTCTCCCATTACGAAATTGTTTAAGACTACTTTCATAGCACGGTATCTCCGCCAGTATTTCACCAAAGCTATCACGATTTTCTATCAAACACCCTCTGAAACCAACCACCCTCCCCCCCATTTCTCCCGATGAAACCGTTCAATCGAGATCCCTCTGGCGAAACGTATCGACGATCGGTCGATTTTTCCTCGAGCCCGGTGCACACCCAGGCGTGGAACAGTTGCACACTGCACGGGAACAAAAAGATTAGAGGGCTGCAACAGAGTGATGCGCTCTTCCATTTTTCAAATAGACGGCGACAAATCGAAAATGAGCCGAGCTACCGTTTTGTCCGCCCGTATGTGCACGTGTGGACACAGAGATGGTATATTGGCCGAGTATTCAACAAACTAAAAGACACGGGGAACAATCCTCTTAATTGTCTTCTAAACTTTTAGATTCTTACAATACGCGCTGTAATTTATTTGATTGACGACAAAAAAATGTACATTTTTATAATAACAATGAAATCGACTTACGCCAATGTCAATTTTTATTTAATTCAATTGTCTCAATCAACAATAGACATTTTCGATTAATTTTTTGTCTCTAAACTCAAAAATGTAAAAATGAAAAATATTATTGAAACGTAAAAATCAATCCAACTGTTCAATATCGCATACAAAACTTATAAATCGCAACTAAATAATCTGATTCCTCGGCAATTTACGATCTCTACATACAATTGCTCTCCTTACATTAATTAAAATTATCTCATTAAATAAAATTATCCCATCCATTTCGAAACGAGCGTGAAAATTAAAATTTCTATATATCTCTTATAATATCTTCTCTCTTTTAAATAACTTGGAAATATAAAAAATAATTTAGATTTCGATATATTTTGAGAAATAAAAAAAAAGAAAAAAAAGTAGAAGAAAACGAAGCGAGCGGAATATTTTAAGGTAAGGAGGGCAGAGAGGAATTCACACGGACACGTGGCCTCGATAGAACTTCGAAGGCCACGTGCGCCAATGTGTGTACACGCGTTTTCATTGGCGGCGGGTGCATTCGGTCATGGAAGCACGGTCAGCAGTCTTGATTTCTCTGCATGCAAGAATTCTGTGGTCGTTGCAGTTTCAACACCGGTCATCTTCATCCCCCTCCAACCACCCTCGACGGTGGCGGTGTACGGCTGGAATAAAAACTACTGATTTATCGTCGACGTTCGGCCGGCTTCGATGAAATTCCGGAAGTTGCATCCGGGTCTCCATCTTCGTGCCGAGCTTTATTAGAGAGGCTCGGAGGCTCCTGGGCTTCGTGGAACTAATTTTTTCGACGGGGGATGGAGGGAGGGAGAGATGGTTGATTTATAGAGAGGGACGAAGGTTAGTCGAGGAGTTTTGTTCCGAGAGTTGGATGGTGGATTGAAACGAGAGTTGATTGGAAGATAAATAATTTGGTAGACAGGCTTTGAATGATCGTCTCGACTTATCGCGTGACTGATAAAATTTCGTTCTCTGTAATATTATTTGTACAATATATACATGTATCTCATATATATATATATATATATATATACATTGTAATTTGATCGAGTGTTGCAAGAATCGAGAAGAGAGGTTACGTGATACGATGAATTTTTAAAATTATAAATCTAATTTTATCGTAATAATATTGAATCAGAAAGGGAAAAATCATTAACCGATCGTTCTTCATTAAAAACAACCGTTAACGAGGGAGAAAAATCTATTGGAAACACTTCACACCAAGCATACATCAAGCGAAACATTCACTCCCTTCCCGCGTGCTATTTCATCGAATATCCAGATCACCCCTTCCCTCCCCCCAACATCCATCACACTTTTCCCGCGAGCACAGATTTTTCACTCGCACAAGCCAACCCGAAAAAATTATTCGCATGCAAGAGTCGCGCTGGACCCATAAATCCACTCATCTCCTCCGTTTTTTCAACAACCCAACAACAATCCCCGATCCTTGATCCTGATTTATACACATCGCGATAACGAAAGTAATAATAATAATAATAATAATAATAATAATAATAATAACAATAATAACAATAACAAAGGAATCAATAACAGAAGAAATCATCGATGGATCTCTTCTCGGGAATAGCGAGTTCTAGGGTGCAGTTCTCGAGCACAATGCTCTCTGAGACAGAAATTGTTATTTCGCGCGCGGCGTGGATCGCATACCGAAGCTCAGTCCACGTGAAAACGTTTCTTCGCGAAAATGTCCGCCCATCCTTTCTCACGCGTTCCTACTTTTTCCCCAACGCGCTCTTTCCCCCACTATTTACCAGCCAAGAGTTTCCCCGCCAACGAGCAAGGGTGCCGTGACGGGAAAAAATATGGCAAAACGCATTCCGTTCCGGTTTGGATAGGAGGGAAGGGGGGCTCGAGTGCAAAGGATACTCGCGGGGGTGGGAACCGGTTGATCGATGCGATTTCCACGGCACGATCTCCGCTTGATTCTTTTCCGATTCCAGTCGGCGAGACCCGATAAAAGGGGTCGCAGACGGTGCTGTGTGTTTAATTTTTTTCCTTTTCTTTTTCTTTTTTCTTTTTTCTTTTTTTTTTTTTTTTTTTTTTGGTTTGGTTCTTTTGATATCGAAAGGTTTTTAGTCGAACGAGACACTTTTAATCGTCGTTTCATCGATACAATATCTTTAAGATGTACATAGTTTTTGATCTTTCTATGAGAATATTCTTGGTCGAAGGGGAAACAAAAGGAAAATGGAATATCTTGGAGAAGAAGATCGTCTTTTTTAAAAATTAATTTCCACTCGATCATACTCGAGTAACGTGACACGAGGGAAACGATGCACTTCCGCCTTGTCGGTTTCCGTAAGGAAGCCCGTGCAAATTATGAAAGATTAAGCTATCTCTTCCCGAGGAACGTGATGATCGATCATAATCGATGAAACAATATCGTGGAGGCATGATATGATAAAATCATTGCAGATTTTTTTAAACATTTCTTTAAATGAAAAATTATTCTGATTAAATTTTTGAAAATATTTTTTTGAAGATAATGGAAAATTTAAAATTTTTGAAATATTCACGCGTCAAAATATTGTATCCCTAATGCTAAGATATAAAGATGTATTTAGGAATCCTGTAGAAGTTTGGTATCACAAAAACGAGGGCACAGAGCCCCGACTTGAGAAACTTCTGAACAGCCTTCAACTTTCAGGAAAACATTATTCAGAACCGTTTCATTTTCCGCGTTCACTTTCAAAATGAGTTTTTAAGTTTCACGAGTCTGGACGCACGATTCACTCGTTGAAAATTGAAACGTCGTGTGACTAACCAGTTCCTGCTTATTTAAGCCGAAAATAATTATTTGAAATTGTTCGTTTCAGGAAAATTTCTGACTTAACAGCTTGCTTTTCGTTCACGATAAAATCGAGAACGAATGAAGGAAAACAAGGAACAAAGCAAAGCATGGAATATCCAAGTTGCGTGACAATTCATTGCGTGGAAATAGTGGAAGGTCTTTAATAAGCCGTAAGATGTGATACTCCAGCGAATTCAAAAACATATAGGAAAGGAACTTTCTCGAAGAATTATGAGAGATGACTTTTCATCGATCAATATTTGCACATGATGTAGCAATCGTTGAAATTAATTTGATGATTCAGAGGATATCCTGTTGTAAATCTTTGGAATAATTAATTCTCGTTTCGCATTTCTTTCGAGAATATAATTTGGTGAAAATATAAGAAAAAATTTGAGATCGAATTTCTAAAATTCGAAAAGGAATAATTCCTTCATCTTTCTATGATCTAAAATTAGATCTAAAAATATTTTTACTCGATCTAAATATTCAGAAATTAAAAATTCAATCAATCTTCTTTCAAAATTAATTCGAAAGTGAATCCTATTCGTTGTTCTCTCGTTTTTATTTCTGATAGAAACAACACAAATGCAGCAGCCATAGCAACTGAGATTAAACAAAACGACTATTATCACTATTAAATTACATTACCATCGTTGCAAATGGATAATCATATATCAACTCTATTTTACTCTCATGCGCAAAGTACCGTGTGAGTTTGCGAAATTTATGCAGATTAATCCGATAATAATCGTTATTAACCGAATTCCCCACGTCCTAACTCTACCACGTGCAAAATTCCCCCATTTTTTCCTAAACTAATGCTATTAAAAGTAATCAGAAAAATGCAAGAACACATATCGTCTACATAATACACACTATTATTATCACTGATGAATTTTATTCATAATTTTCTCAAACTTTCTTCTTAAGAAAATCCCCTTCTCAAACACGCGTTTTCACAAAAAAGTTGCCCTCAAAGAAACCAAGAAATCCAAATAAGAATCCAAACAAGAACGTTTCATCGAAAGTGACGATTTTATCTTTCACGATTACCCTCTCTCCTTCATCGCCGAAAACTACCTTTTTTCTCGATTCGTTCGAGCGAAAGAATCTGCCTCGCGCATACCTCTCCACCCCTCGAAACACGAAACGCATCGTATCGGGGTCACCAATCCAGGGAATCACGAGATCCGCGAGATCCACTCGCGGTTCGACAGGAGGAGGATTGCGGGGTGGAAACGCATCGATCAAATGGAGGAGGAGGGGTGGCGCGCGAGTCGAGAGAACGTAATGACCCGTAGGAGAAGCGTGCCACGAGATTATCGGCGACAAGCCCGACAATCATTTCGCAATTACGAATGCAGGGAAACAGAGGGCCAGGAGACGGGCCTCGCAACACGACGGAAATAAATCGAGACGTGATTGATCGCCTCCAACCTCTCCCTCTCCTCCTTCTCCTCCTCCTCCTCCTCCTCCTCTTCCACTCTCCCCCTCTTTCCGCAGGGGGGACGAAATTAATGCACTGTCAATCGGGAGAGCGAGCGAAATCACGGATCGCGCACATCGTGATTTCCGTGATTTCCATCTCTGACGACGAGCCATCGATTTTCCATTGTTGATATTTATGTATCGTACGTACGAATCCTTCCTTCCTTCCCTCCCTCCCCTCTCTTTCGTTTTCGGGTATCGTTCGGTGGTGTAATGTGCCAACCGAAGTGGAAATTAATGAAATTGATACTACCCTTTGCAGAGAATTCGATACGTCCGATAGAATACGTGTTATTACTACTTATTGAATATCTCGTCTACACTTGTGTACTTGTTAATTTTGTTATATTATTTATAATACACTAGTAGTGTTTCTTTAAACCAAATTTTGATACATTTTCAAGAAAACCACATACTCACACGTATCTTTTATTTATAAATTTTAAAAATTGTTGACAATATGAAATTTTATAAATATATTATACAAATTATTCTCCAACTTAATAGATGAGATTAAAAAAATGTATTTTCTTAATTTCGGGATGAAACGGGAAGATTGATCGATCCGATTCCATTGATGGAATCGTCAAACGAAATACCGCGTATGTACAATCCACGTAACAAACGAGAAGGAAAAGCAATCCACGCGAATGTAATATCCGCAACACCGTTTATCAATTAAAAGGGGAGCATAAACGCGGGCGAACGCGGCAGAGAAGGAAAAACAGCCGCGAGTTATAAGCCGTCAAAGGAGACTTTAATTGCGAAATCGGAAATGGGAAATCGGTTGGCAATACGAGAGGGGGGAGGGGGGGGGGGAGGGAATCCCCTTTAAGCCCCGTTGAAACGTCTTCGCCCGGGAGCGACGAGTTCGATTTCGCCGTTTGCCCGCGTTTCGTATCCGGCGGCTGCCGATTTTCGCCCGCCCGCGAGCCAAGAATTCAACAAGCCGATCGAGACGAATCGATTTCCGATCGGATGTCGGCCGCGCGACCCGATTGAGATTGCCTCCGACCACGGCCCGCATTGTTTCTCGATCGCGCGCATTGTTTTCCATGTCGCAACCTCGTCGACATCAATCATCGCCACCGACAATCGAACTTTGCCTATCTGGGTGGACACAGCCGGCCCATATTTCCGTATCGCGCGAGACTAATGAGAAATATAAATTAATTTCGTGTCGTGTCATTCGTATTATAGATATATCACGAAAAAAAATGGGAAAAAAATGATATGTGGGTTTTTTTTTTTAATTGGATCGTTGCAAGATTTTTTGGATCAAAGCGTAAAGATATTGTTTTAACTTTCCTAAATTTTCATATGTCATCACGTGGAAAATGGTAAGTTAATTCGTGTATATTTTTGTTATGGAGATAGATAAGGAATGTGTATCTTTTTAAGGATTCGTTAAGATATTTTGATTAATTTAATGAAAATAAATATTGTTTCCGTAAATTGATGATTTGAATTGAATTTGATGGAGAAGTTAGCTATTAGATTGAAAAAAGTGAACCCTTTAGAGAAATATTGTCTTAAAAATGTTACATAACCTCTCTTTCGCACGTAAATGTTCCTAGATTATTATGATAATTTCAAATATCCAAAAAATAAATTTTTATAAGAAAAATTTCAAAGGACAAAGATTCGAAAGGATTTTGAAAGAACAATCTCGCAACACTCGACACTTACATATGTCTCTCCCAAGCAAAAGGATGTTCGTACGTCTAGAAATCGTGGAACATCGTGTCTCTTGGAAAAGGAAACGTGGAAAGGTCTTAGAGGAAGGATGAAAAGGGAGCTTTCTTTCCCTGTCCATTTATCTTTTGACTATTCTTTCCACGAAAATAGTGGAGCCTCCAAGTATCTTGACATCCTCGTGTATATCAAAATGACAATGGTAATTCCTGTACTAACCTCTTCGGTATGGCCATCGTTCGTTATGGAATATTATATAACGAGCAAGAACAATATGGTATACAAATGATATTTCGAAATCATCGATTATTGACATTCATAAGCTGTCGATTATAAATGATGCTCGATGGTATTAATTCATGCGACGTTTGCGTCGACTAAAATCTACACTCGAGCGTAGAAACAAACATGGCGGTTGTTGACTATAGTCGATGTCAAATTATACGAATAAATACGTAGACTGTAATCGTTTCACCAATTGTTTGACACCAAACTCTGTACATAAATAATCCCTTTTTTTACTATAATTTACATCGAATTCTGGAAACCACACTAACCAATTATTAGATTTATTTATTATCATCGATGTAATCAAACCTTTTTCCAGGATTTCCAAATAAATGCCACCGATTATAGTCAATATCAAATCACCATCGATCCTCGACCGCATAAGCACCACAAATCCGAACCTAGTACCCAATCCGCAATGTACATCGATCACACGCTATAATCGACGTACGTAAAATAAATATGTCATACCATATATACCAAACGCTCGGTTCGACAATACGAATACACGTGGCGTACACACGTGTTCCATAGTCGAGGCACGTACCGAAGAGGTTAAAGGAACGAACGTCTCCATTCGTTGATCCCGATCGCCTCGATCTCCTGGAAAAGAAAATGAAGACGAAGGCAGGAGGAAGGAGGGGGTGAATCCTTACCTCGCCGGAAGCCACCGCCTCGCCAGGTATGAACAGCTCCGGATAGACGTTGTCCAGGTACCACTTGAACGATTTGCAGCCGAGCCTTTTCCTCAGCGCCTTCCTCTCTGATACGTCCCCGTATTTGCCCTGCGAAAATTGCGAATCATAAGCCCGGAAATTTTGCCTGACGAGCGAAGGAAGGAAGCCGGACCTGCGCAACCGGGTGGAAAGGGATCGTTTCCTGGAGGCAGGGATTTAAAGGGTGGCAGGGGATGAGGGATATAATCGTAAAAAAGAAGGGGGATAGGGAGGCGAGGTAAGAGCGTGGAGGAAATAAAGAGGAGAAATGCAGGGGAATCTTTTATGGGCCGGAGTTTAAAGCCTCCTAGAGCGGAATAATGGCAATACTCGCGCGAGGGTGGGATTCATGGACGCTCGTGGAACCTGTTTGGACTTTGGGCAAGCTTTTCCCTCTACTATCCAAAAATAGAAAATATTTAAGCTGTACTCGATAATTTTTGTCTTATTTTTCGTTTGGCAGGAATCGAACGACGAATTTAAAATAAAGATAAAAAGTAAAAGAATGATTTTATTTTGTGACACGATAAAATTGGATAACTGGTGTTATTAAATTCGATTGTGAGATTTCGTAAATAGATGTTAAATCTGTGCAAAGAGCTTTTGAGAAAATTAATTTCGAATGCTAATGAAATAGAAATGTAAATGATTATATGTGTTTATCGTTTATATGTATTTATTTAATATTTACTTGTTTATTTATTAAAATAATATTGCTTTCGTTGCAATATTTATAGTGTATTACATATATATAGTATGTAGTATATAGTATAGTTTATATAGTATAGTAATTTTAAATTCATTCTGTATTTGAAATTAATTTGCAATGAACTTTAAAGGAGCATAAGAGATTGTGTCAGAAATGACAGACTTGTTCTACTTAAAAATTAATATCCTATAGAAAATAACGATAAAAGAGTATCTTTATATATATATATATATATTTAATTAAGTATTTCTAGAAAAATATGATAATATAAAACATGAAATTTAAATTTTTTTAAATCAATATTTTATAGTTTCATGCTTTCCAAAAATCTTATCGTTTCTTTTTATTTTTATTTCACATTCATAGTTTTATGCATTTTGCAACGTGTCAAGGAATATAGAAAATGGAAAATTCAAGCACGTATTGTGTCAAAACGGTGCTCGACTGATAAAACGTTTTCGATAAAATGTATAAAATAAAATGTAAAACAATTTTCAGCAACGCTCGAGTAAATTGTTGAATTGTTCTAAAATAAAAAAATCTCTTCAAATTTGGAACACGTGTCAGTTCATAACCAATAAAGTCTCACTTTTTTATTACGAATATTATTAACACATCTTCTGTAAATGACTTTAACAATTAATTTCAAATTAATCTTTAAATTAAATTTTTATATTTCATATTTTTATGTTTCACATTATATTTACATTTATATCATACTACTATTATATCATACTGTATAAAATATTGCTACAAATCAAGAGATGTAAAAAGTAGTAAACTATTTTTCATTTTATCTCTTTTGCAATAATTCATTATTTGTTGCTTCTTTTATAACTATTTATAGTTATTATAATTTTACAAATCTAAAAATTCTACAATCTATAATGAATTATAATTATTTAATAATTATTCTTTTTCAAAATAAAATAAGATGGACGTTCAAAATCATTTTTCAACGATAATTCGATAAATTAATTTTGGAAAATGTTTTATCGAACAAAATTTGAACGAAAAAAATTAATCTTCGTCGAATAATTTTTATCTCATCCTTCGACACACTCGATCTCGTTTCGAGGGGACAAGATGATAGGATAAAGGATAGAGAATGAAGGAAATACCTTCCAGGGGAATACAAGAGTGATCTTTAAGAGTGCTTCACGTGTTTATAGACTGGTTTTTACGACGAGTCCTCGGTCTATGGCTCTCTCTATTATCGTCATCCCTTATGGCGACTATTTCGGTCAACATGTGCCCCGACGAGACCAATAAAATCACACGCAAATGGAAAGACACGTTTCCCAACGTGTGTAGACTTTATTCAAAACAGTTTATAATCTCTATACGCGCGCGAATTATATCTTGATATACAGATGGAATATCAAGGAAATCTTTCTCGCAAACTTTTATTTGTTATCATTTCTTTTCAAACGTATTCTATTCTCATAAAATTATAAAATTTATCTATCTATGATGAATTTATTTAAATAATAAAAAAAGATTCTATTCTATTTTAGATTAAACTACCGATCTTCTTTTGTTTCTTTTTTTTTTTTTCTAAATAATAATTTATAATTAAATTTTATATTCTATAAAATCTTCTATACTCTCTCTTCATTTTTCAAAAACTATCTACGCGCCAAAAAAAATTTATATCACTCTTGACAAATAACAAAATTCTTCCATTCTTCCACGAGCAAAAAAATAAAATCAATCTATTTCCACGCTCCCTTAAATATCACATCCTTTACTCTCTTCGTTGCTATTTTCATACTTGTGACGCAAACTCGTCTCGAGACATGCCGCCCTAATCAAGTCTCGAGGAAGAAGAGCGCGATCGAGATAGAAAGGTCGAGCAAGAAAAATCGAAAGGGAAAGAAGTCTGGATGGCTCACCTTGTCGTGACCTATCCTCTGGTAGTAGTACTTGGCATACTCGTCCAGCCACACCTCGCTCAACCTTATGCTGTTCCTCTTGAGCACGTTCACGCCGCTCCGCCACTTGTACGGCGACCGTTTCCGGAAGATGTGTCCCACGTGTGAGCAGGGCACGATTTCCAGGGTGCCTGGAACAAAAACACAACCGGCGTTCGAGTCTCGTTCAGCCGCGGAAACGGCTGATTGCGGACGGGAGGGGGATGGGAGTAATTGTATTTATTTTGTCGCAAAAAGGGGTTGCAAGGATTTAAGTTCCTTCCTAAGGGATTTCCTTCGTGAGGAATTCGTGGAAAAATTAGGACGAAAGGATGAAGATTGTGATTGCGAGAGATCGTGGAGAGATTGGACTTTGATAGAGATCCGATTAGGTGGATTAGACCAAGGAGGATGGATTCGTTGATTATCGCGTGAGAGAAATTAGAGGAAAGGGAAAGGGGGAGGTCAGTCTGGAAGCGTTTCAAAAATTTGTTTCGAGTTTGCGAGTGAGTTGAAATAAGATAGAATTTATTATTGGGGTATGGGATTCGATAGAGTTCTTATTTCTATCAATTTTCTACGATAAATTCTTGTGAGACAAATCTTTTACGATCGGTGTTACACGTACCTCCGCACATCCACGTTTTGAAGGAGAGCTCGAGATTTTCGCCACCCCAAATATCAAACCCGCTGTCGTACGTGCCGAGACGTTCAAAGAAAGCTCGATCTATCGAGAAAAGGCCTCCAGCCATCGTTGGTGACCACACAGGCTCCGCTGGATTCTTGTGTCTCTTCTTCTCCCTCTCCGGAACCGCGTGCCAATTGAACTGATACAGAAATCAACAAGGAATCTCGGAAATCGGGCAAATTGATGAAGAGAAATTGTAAAAAGTTGGTGGAAAGAACAAATAGTCTCGAAATGTTTTGGAGAAACTTGAGAAACTTGAAGATGGCTAATTTTAAACGAGAGATAAAATTATAAATGGTTTGATCTTTTATTGTTTAAGCCGAAGAAAATGTGTATTCACAAATTTATTTATAGATTTTATTGAATGGATGAATCGAAATGTATAAATTTTTTAAAATTTCAGTTATGACAATTTTTTCGTTTTTCCTTTCTAAAGGAAAAAATTCAATTTATTTTATATTATTTTTCGTTTTATAATTTTATCGTAAACTTGAAACACAAAATACTTTTCTTTTAGGATTTAAGTAAAATGAAAAAAATTACTTTGAAACACGTGAAAAGAAAAGAGCTTCGAGAAATGTATTATACATGTCTGACCATACGCGTACTATGACCACTTAAAACTCGCCACTTCCAGTTTCACTTAGAGTATAGCATAGTAAGTATATTTCTTTCAATTTTCTCCCCTATATCATTTTATAACACCGTGTGCATTTTATAATATATATATTCTTCCAGTGCGCACATTATTCTAAGAAATCCTTAAAAACTATGAATTTAGAATTCTTTTTAAAAATTTGAAATCTTTCCATCGATAGCTTATACACGATTTTCAAGATTATCATTCAATTATATTCTTACGTATGTTTTTTACAATGAAATGTTGTTTCAAAATAATTCACCCGAAATCAGGAGAACCCGAGCCGACCTCGATCCCTTCAAAGCGCAATCATTCAAATTCCAGCAATAATTATTCACATTTTACTCAATGATGAAATCATTGGCGCGGCCGGCGTTTTGTCATCACTCGGCAACGACATCCACGAAATAACGTCGAAAGGAATTTCGCTTACCTGCAGATTCCAATCGAATCCACCCACGTTCACACCGCCGGAATCTCTCCAATGATATTCCAGCGTTGTATCGTCGATCACATCGATCACGGGGCAAACGACTGTCGTTGGATTACGAGCGATCCGATCGAGAAGGGGCTCGAGCCAACCCTCGGTGCACTCGCAATGGCTGTCCAAATATGTGAGGACAGGGGCCTTCGCGGCTGCAGCGCCCAGTAAACGAGCTCTGATAAGACCTTCCCGTTTTTGCGCCCTAATGATCTGCACTTTCGGGTAGTTCATCATGTAGTCCTCCAATTGACGCTGGAGATGCGCTGTTGGAATTTTTAATTCGATCGATTGAGCGAAGAATATTTAAATTCGATTATTGTACAGTGTTTAATAATTAATAATTAACAGTTAATCAGTGGAATTAATATTTGAAGGATCGATTCTAGAGGCCACAGTGACAAATTGGTATGCATAAATGTCGATCGAGGTTTATTTATCGAGTTACGAGCAATTGAAATTTTCGCTATGACATGGAGCGCCACGCTGCGGCGGAATGATGTAACACGATAAAGCTGTCTCTTTCTATCTGTTTTGCTTCGTCCAATACAAATTTCAATTGCTTATAACTTAATAAATAAATTTCAATCGATATTTTTGTATACCAACTTTTATATTTGTTTTGACCTTTAAAATCATTTTTCGCATATTAAATATTTTGTATCGTTTTGCTATTGAAATTATTTAAAGTATAAAATCTGAGATATACGTATGTAATTTTATTTCGTTCCTTATATTACAAATTTATTGAATCTATTGAATGGTAGAATCAGAAAATGAAGAAGACGAGTTTTAAAAATTATTATTACAATATTTTACAATTTTAGTATTTTATCGACTAATTTTAAACGATATAACTCGAAACGGTGCGCGATATAACTTTATATCCAATGTAATTGTACATAAAATTTAGATTTACGATATCAGATGAGTTATAGTCGAAGTGTTCCATTGGGGATAGCAATTAGTAGACATTCGTGATTTACTTTACGTTAAAATACCTCTGTGAGAGAACATTCTCTCTAAGCCTTCACTTATTGAGTTCGGTTAGTTTAACTGCAGATAATATACAGGGATTTCAAGGATCATTCCCGTACGAATTGTAACGATCGAGTTTATTTTAAAACAAATCTTCGATATCTTTAATATCGAAATCGTTTTCAAGCGTTACAAATTATATTTAAATAATTATAATTGACAATCCGTTTTTATACTAAAGTTTATAACAAAACGAGAAATTTGAAATAGAATCGTGCATTTCGTTTGAAATTGAACACGCGATTCGTATTTCACAAGTGGAAATTAAATAGCTGGAAAATCTGTCTGAAAAACTAAAGAATAAAAATACTCTTGTATTTTTTTACTCTATAATAATTCTTTAAAAATTTAAAAATTTTTTCATAAAAAAATATTAATTTTTCATAATTTTATATAATATTCTTTTTTAATTTTTTCTTCCCGCAATAACCTATAGCCACAATACCTTCATCACGTTACAAATTTATTTAGTCCCTCATCAAAAGCTGCAGAAATATCAAATTATTTTCCTTCCTTCCATTACGTTGTAATAATCTCGTAATTACAAAGAGAAGACGTTCTCCTTATTACTATTAATTAAATCTTTATTACAAATTTTTGTTAACAAACCACTTTATTATTATTTCCATCTTACCGACAGATAGAAAAAGAATGGAAAAAAAAAAGAACACGAATGTAAAAAGAGATGCTCATTGTTTCCTGTCTCTGTCTCATGATAAAACAATCAGTTTGTTTTGAAACGGGGCACACCATCTGCTATCCATAGCGCATGGGCTAACTATGTTTATGAGCTCGACTTCCGGTTGCCACGGAAGCTTATCTCGAGCTTTTAAGGTGGATTGCACGAGCTTACTTGCTCTGGTTTCTATATCGTTTACAACACGTTGCGCCTTCGCTAACCTGCTGTCAAGCGGGCTTAATCTCGCCGGCTTTTCCACCACCGATTTTTATTTTCTTCCTTCCTCCCTCTCCCCCTCCTCTTTCTCTCTCCTTTGTTACACGTGACTACGGTTAGCTATCTGTCCTTTCCATCCGGCGACACGTTAATTCGAACACCTTTGGCGATAAACTGCTCTTTGTTTTCTGGTTATCTCTTTCAACGAACTATTAAACGAACTACAGAAAGGAATCCTATTATTTTTTTTTTTTTTTTTTTTTTTGAAGACTAAGATTCGTTTCTTGGGGAGGAAATATATTTGCAAATTTCTGATTTTCGTTCTCGTAAGGATATTCTTTTAAAGGATATTTCCTTTCAAACGAAGGAAATATTAAAGTTAATTTCTTTATTAAAAAATAATTCTTTATTAAAAAATAATGCCTAAAAAGAAAATATAAGATATGAGATATATTTTTCTCTCAGTTATCGAGACAGACTTCTTCAACTAACTTGTACCTACGTTGAAGTTATTGCATCATGAATTTCATTTTTATACGGAAAATGCATTATACAATTCTTTCGTCGATAACTCGTTAACAAACTTATATACTTACTCCATCAACGAAACTTCGCCATCATTCCCCAACAATAATTATCAATCAAATCTTCTTATTTTATTACAGCATCTCGTACAGAATCGTTGAAATATTTTCAATCGTAATTCAATCGTGATCCATTTCAACCATCCAATTTGTCCAACTTGTAAATTCTGTGCAATTTGCAATACAATTTCCAAAGTTTTTTAAAGAATACGTATCATCTCCAAAATTTTTTCAAGATTAGGACACATCGCCTCATTAACATCAATAAAATAAAAATCCTTCCAAGCGTCCAACTTAACTCCGATATTAAAACAAACGAAGAACGATCGCTACTTAACTTAACATCACAATCTGTGAAATATTCAAATCTAATTTATATTTTATCTATCATACCTATCGAAATACACACCAGATCCAGATATGTCACGCGTGTCATGCATTACCCTAAATATTTTACGCCCATTAAAAATCCATTATATTTCGATCCGTCTGTAACTCGAGAGAAAGAGAGAGAGAGAGAGAGAGAGAGAGAGAGAAGGAGGGAGAGAGAGCGCCAGCACAATAAAAATCATGGATTCATCCTGTCAAACCGTACTTCCGCCAGGGGGGATAATAAGCTCGCGACACGACAAGGAAGGAGACAATCGATCTTCCGTCAAAGTTTTCCTCGGCGGCGGAAACGTCGCGTCAGACGCAGACAAATTTTTATCCCCTCCCCTCCATTCCTCGACGCTCCTCCCTCCCTCCCTCCCTTCGACGAGGGGAAAGATATCAACGTCTCGGGATCGTTGGCATGCATCAAGCTGTCGGGAATTTTGCACGCGCGCAACACGTCGACGCCGAGCTTTCCTCCTCCTCCATTCAACCCAGGCTGACCCCTCCGTCCTCTCGCCCCGTCGATCGTTTTTTACGGGTTCCATGGCTGGATGGATCGCGATTAATCGATCCATAGCGAAGGGCTGTGTGTACGTACGTTGACCGCGATAACGAATCATCGGCGAGGATTGAATGGAGGCACGTATCGAATAGCGTAAGATCAGATCTCTCTCCCCCCCCTCCTCTCAGGCTTTAGAATTTCTCTTCGATTCTCTCGACCGATCATGGGAAACGATTCCTTCTTTGGAGATTCTTTCTTTGAGGTGGAACTTTGCGTCGATCGCGTTCAATATTATCTCTAGTTTAATTTAATAATAAATAATTTAAAAAAGTTTAAAGGTTTAAAAAAGTTTAATAATCGTATATTTTAATGGGAGGTTGAGGAAGGAAGAGATGGGTGTGAATTAATTCAGATGGCGTGTCATATGTTTCGAAGAAGATATTATTGGAGAGAGAGAGAGAGAGAGAGAGAGAGAGAGAGAGAGAGAGAGAGAGAGAGAGAGAGAGAATGAAATGTTTACTTACGCATGTCGGAGAAATCATCTACCAGGATGATCTCCTGTATAAGGTGGTCCGGTGATCTGTCCAGCACGGAATGGACCGTCCTCAGCAACACCGACCAGGCTTCGTTATGGAAGCAAATTATCACCGCTGTTGGAGGAAGATCTGTCAGGTACCTTCCTGGTTCTTTACACCTGTAACAAAGGGAACAGAATATATAGAAAAGTTCCGTTAAAGAAACATCACGATTCAATTTCCACTTTCTATACTTAAATACAATAATTAATCGTTTAAATATTATAATTGAAATTCAATCAATATCTTGCTATTTCTATCCAATTTTCTAAATATTTTAATAAACTTACTATTATTGTGAAAATATATTCGATAAATAATATTTTAATATATAACGTTGAACAATAAAAGAGATCGAAACGGATCACAGATTTTTCGATATTAACAAAGACTCCTGTCCATTCTATGGTCATAACCGTAAATCGGAATTCAGCAACGTTAATATCTTAATCCCGATCGTCGATCGGAAAACATGGATTACGGGGAGGAGATATCCGCGAAACGATAGAGGGCAAAATACGATAATGCGATTAGGAACCGCTATGTTGGCAGAATAAACGGGCAGTAGTTGTGTATACACGTAACTTGGTCCCCGTAGGCCAAGATTCTAAGACGCCTCCGACTCCTGGCCGTATCGTATCGGCTAATAAAGCTAATGTGGATAATAAGATCCGTAAACAATCAACCTCCTCCATTTCCGGCATCGTTACCCGCATCTGTGCACCTCTTCGCTTGTCAAGTTTCTGTTTATCGTTTTCCTTCGCCGCAATCTCATTGGCGCTCTCATTGGTCGTATCGATCCGAGGATTCACTTTGTCTCGTTCGTTTTAATTTCATTTTTTTTTTCTTTTTAAGGATTTTCTTGCGAAATTTTTTAACAATTGATATTCCACGAATTTCACGAGATTTTGGAAAATCTCAATTTTTGTATGGAAATAATAAGGGCAATATGCAAATATTGAGAAATAAATTTGATAATTTTAATCCTCCTCTTTTACGACAGTTTTTACAATTGTCATTTCACTTGTAAATTTTTGTAAAAATTTATCAAAGTTTGTGAATGTTAACTTGGAGGGAAAAAAGAAATAATAAGAAAAATATAACTTAAATTATCATTTATAATTTTATTCTATATTTCTATCACTTATAATTAAATTTATTTAATTTCCAAAATATCAAAATATTCTTTCGTATTAAAATCAATGTTGACAAGTTTTTTAAACGCAAAATTAAATATGTGAATGGTAATTAAAAGCTTTCAATGTAAGAGATATATTTAATTTTATCGAATTGTATCAAATTAAATATTCGTTAAAAATATATATTCAAAGTACACGTCTCAATATTACCAGCGAATCTGTGAATTTTTCCTGATAAAATCGGCGATAACTTGTTGAAATTTTCCATGTGGTCGACGAAAGGAATAAATGGAAAGATCATGAATTTTTAATGATATTTGCTCCCATGTCAAAGTAGCATCAAATTGGAATTCAAATTTTAAAATATTTGATCTAGAAAATGCTTTAAAGCCTCCTCAACTCTAATACGAATTATTTTTCGAATAGATCCATCGTATGAAATATGAAATTTGTGTGAATATGAAACAAATAATGAATTAATTTAATTTAACATATTATAAAAGTATAAAAAAATAATAAAAACAATTTGTGCAAATTAATACCACTTTATTGAAATATATATTATATATATGAAGTTACTTACACAGTAGGATAGGTGAGACAATGATCAGACAAGAAATTTCATTTCGTATTCGTGATCAAATGCTTCGCAGTAGTCATACAAATGATAAGTCAGACACTTAACCACTTTTCTGACCATTGTATACTACTGAATTACAAAAACAGTAATTACCAGAATTTAACTAAACTCCAAACCTTTAAGATTATTGTTTGAGTCACTCAACAATATTTTATCAAATAAATTCTATAATAAAGAAAAAAGAAATGAGTGAAATGATATTAACGAAATCAGACACATATAGAATTACATTCCAACTGAAAAAAAAAAACTCATCAACAACGTATCCCTTTAAATTTCACAGGACAGGAGAGACGAGCGAATTAAATATTCGCTCGTCAGATGGAATAAAAAATTTTCAATCTCAAAAAAGGCAACTTCATTTGCCACTCTTGTAACGCGAACTTAACGACATTAATTCCTCGAAAGTGTCAGAACGAAGAAGGATCTCCTTCAACGTTATTATGGTAAAGCCCATCCTGATTTCCGGACGAGAGCGCGTGAAAATCGGGAAAAATTTCATTTAAAAAGTTGCCGCCAAGTCGAGTTCCCTCGATCCTTGACATGGTGGAGAACAGAAAGAGATGGAAATAATCGAGATCGAACGCGTTTGGATAAAAAAGAAAAATTCTTCCTTTTCCGTATATATATCATTTATATCCCAATATTATATTCCATTATATTCCAACGTAATATCGTAACGAGTTGTATATTCGTTATTTTCATTATTAAGACATTTATTAATACAGTCAATCTTTACTTAACATTAAAATAAAAAATCCAAAAAACTAAAAATTCCACTCTAATTTAATTTCTCAAAGATAACACAAAAGGGACCGCGTTCGTTTCAATTAGCCAATCAGAGCGATCCCCTGCGATTCCATGGAGCGTCGTAAAGATCGTTCGTCGGGTCGTCGACTTTCGAGGGTGAAAAGAATATCCTCCTGTTGTCAAATATTTCTCACGCGTCCCGTCGCTTGGAAAGGAATGCGTGCCGGATAACACGAAACTGGATAACTTACGGTAGATTTTGCACGCGATCGTGTCGGGAATATATTCGATCCCCTCACGTTTTATCCCCTCACCGGGGATAAAAGGGAAAATTATTTTCGTGTTACGTTAATTCCACGATTTTTCGTGTCGCGTGGCTAGAATTCGACGTCGAATACATCTCGTTTCGGGGTGATTTCCAGCTGTGATTGGAATTCACGTCGATGTTGAAGGATGAAAAAAAAAAAAAAGTGATTTGAAAGTTTGAGTTGTTAGTAAAGTTAGTAAGTAAATAATTGTTAAATACAAAAATTAAGTTCGATTCCAAGCAAAGATAACAACAAGATGATTCTGAAAAGAAGAACTGTTATTCACACGTTCAAATTATCAGAAATCGAAACGAATCTTCTATTTTATTCTATTTCCAATGGAAATTCTACTGGGTTTCGTCGAAAAACTCTTTGTTAATCATCTCGTGTTTCATTGAAGTAACGGTTGCACGTGAAGCAGGGAGGGAGCAAGCTGCGGTACCTGTTCGTACCAAACGTATATTAGCCTAAACGTCAGAACCGCTAACCGCACACACGCTGATACGTGTATATCACGTCCATCAGTTGTGCGGTTTCCACGTTACCTCATTCCCCGTGCATCGAACGAGAGGAAGAGGGAGGGAGAGGGAAGGAGGCTTCGAGTCGAAAGCTTCTCTCAAAGAGAAGTCGAAAAATCGGGAAATCCGCGAAACCATTAGTTCCCTGTGGTAGGGAAGCTGATTATGCCAAGAGAAATCAACTGGATTGAAAGACACGTTTTACGCGCACAAAGAACCTAGTGATTAATGTACTTCGATCCATTCAGGCTGGTTGGTTGGTTGGTGGTGGTTTTCGAGTTGATTAAAATTTGATCGAATTGAATTTGATGATACGAGCAGATGAATGGGTTCGAAGAGTAGTAAGAAAGAATGATTCTGGAAAAATAAATAAATTTGCCTTTTAAATGTTAAGAGAATTAATGAATAATTGATGAATTGATTATTATAATTATGAAATTGAAAGGAATCCTTTTTTTTATTGAAAATTATTATTTATCGTGAATATAATTTTTTCGTCATTTTTTTAAATTATTGATTAAATAAATACGATAGGAATTTAAAGAGAACAATAGAATTATTATAGAGGAAATTAAAATTATTGAGAGGGATGAAATTATTACATCTCGCTCTTTCAAATAGTTGTATTTCATTGGTGAAACGAATTGAATGAACGAATTTCATGTATTGTATGATCCATTATAATAAACCATCAACGGCAAATTTCATTTTTGTTTATCTCTTTGATCGGCAACGACGCGTCATAAATAAAGCGACAGAGCAAACAATCCGGGTTGAGCGTTAACCATCGCCCCATTAAAAATTGCGTCAATTCCGTATCGCAAATATTCCTGACACGTAACGATGTAAATAAATGGCCAATAAATTTTTTTATCTGATCGCGTTTCCAATGACGATTCGTCAAAAGCAACGCCAGTTTATGGATTTTAATCAATAAATACAACCAGTGAATCGTATCGAGGTAATTCAAATATTCTATTCATATAACGAATCTATAAAATATTCCTTCCCATTATCCCCCTTTTGTTATCGTGTTGTCCAATGTATTTAATAAAACCGAAAATCATTATTAAAAATTGAAAGTATCGATCGAATCAATGACCAATTTAAAATACTACAAAAAAAAAAAGAAGAAATGTAATGTAGAAATAATCTTTATCATTTTATCTTATTAAATTATAATAATGTAAAAATAAATTAATTTATCGCGTGTAATAATTTACATTTATTAATATATACGTGATGAATCTTTTTTCTTTTTTTTTTTTTTAAAGACAAAAAACATTTTCAGTTGTTGCAAAAGTTCGTTCAATTCGAAACGGAAACAAACTCGTTGTCACCACAGTAAACTTTTGTTAAAATTTAGTAAATGAATTTCTGTTCCTGTATGCATCGTATCAATTGTTTCGTCACAAATTCGTTCATACTTCAGACAATTGCAAATTTTGGATAATATAAAAAATACCTTCCTATTTATTTTTTCTTTTTTTTTACAAATTTTTCGACGTCAAAAATATTAACTGGAATCAAAGAAATCAAAGAGATGATAAAATTAACAAGAAACAAAATCATAATATTCTTCTATACAATTTTAAATTAAAATTAACACATCTCTTCGAATTTTCTTCCCCAACGCAATCACAAATAAAATCTTCGCGAGATCACAGATGCAACACTGTTGCAAGCAGCTTAAAAAAAGGGAGGGGGGTCCACGATGAATTGTGTTTACTTGTAACGAATAAACGTGTCTCGTGTCTCGGTGTT